TCCTAAATGCTTGTATCAAATGCCTTTGTAAAAGCCACAATCTCCTCAAATTATTTGTAACTGTCAACAAATTAAGTACCTTTGCTCACTGAGATATGTTTTTTCCTTGGTCTGCTAGCAAATCCCTGGTGTTCTGCCACTTATCTGAATGATATCACTTACCAAAACTGTAGCAAGTCCATTATCTGATTCCCTTACTGACCTGTACAGCAAATTATCTGGACTCCCACTATGCTGCAGTAAGCTCACATTTCACAAATATTTTCTTACTTGTTTTTTCATCAGTTCCTGCATGACATCCTTATTGATTTTCAACCATCCCTCATTCTGAGTACTTTTTAAATAGATTTCCACAATTTCAGTCTTATCAATCTCAATTCAGTGTTCTTGTATTAATAGGCTTTTCATATTCCTTTCCCTCCCCAGGCACATTTATGAAAGCTCTTCTTTCTCTCCTTAGCCTTCTGGTTGTTGTTAATTTATTGTTGTGGATGCCCTTAGCTTGTTCTCTGAGGCTGAAATCCAGTCAGCTGATTATTTGCAGTCCATCTTCCTTCATTCAGGGTAAGGCTACCATGCCACTTGCTGCTGCACACTGTGAAACTACAGATCATGGGGGTACTGTGCTGTTTCATTTTTAACACCTAACTGTAATGCTTTCTCAGGTTCACGGGTTTCTTTTTATCCCTTCTCAGCTGCTAAATCACATTTTGAGATCTGCCAATGCTGTTAGTATGTGAGGAAAAAGGGCAGAGAAAATTCCATTTGTTAGATGCCGGGTTGCTTCCTCAGCTGGGGCAGTGGAGAGTTTTTCTCCTGTATACAGCCAGCCTCGAGTGATGCTGTCTGGGGATTAATCCAGGATATCTTGAAAACCAAAACTTCATTCTTCAAATTAGTTGTTTGCACCACACTGCAGGAATTTCAGTGACTCATAAATCCTGTTATTTCAAAGTAAGGGAAGTACATAAAAATATCACATGGAGCTTGAATGTTCCAGCCTATTTCACAGACCAAGATTTTCAGCTAATCAGGACATTACACATCTTTGCTTGGACATTCACCTCATGTTTTCTGTTCTAAATCAAAATAGAATAAGTGACATCGGTGAGTTTGCTGCCACCCTATATATGTTTTTATATGCCAGACCACAATATTATCACTTTCTGGGGAGCAGCCGTATACCAAACAAACAAAAATAGTTGCAAAAAGGAGAAGTTAAAAAATGAAAGAATTGTAGCTAATAGAAGGTATTATTTAGCCTCCTTTGTGCTTGCAACCAACTTCAAGATAAAGTATACCAAAAGCAGAAAAGGACAAACAGGAAAAAAACCCCAAAAACCACAGAGCAAATATGAGCAAATACTGGGATAGATTTCTTTGGTCTAATAGATTGTTGCCTACTTTCTGCAGTTTAGTGAGCCCCCTAGAGTAATATTATTCCCTTCTCTTCTGTCCTATCCTTACCCCTACTTCTGCAGCCAAACACCCAGCTTGCCTTTTGCAAGGTAAGTCAACCACACTCCTCCCTGCCATCTTTTCAGAAGCCCATTTGTGAAAACACCACATTCTAGTACCTCTGTAACAGTAATTAAAAAAAAAAAAATTAAGGGTGAGGAGATGATTTTAAAAACCACATTTGTTCAAACTTTTTTTTTTTTTTGCTATCGGAATTAGGAATGCTTCCCCTAATCTTTGTTTATTAATGGCAATGTGACCTAATACTTAAAAATTCCCTTCTTCCTCTACATCTCCATGTGTTAGAAGGATGTTTAAGAACATCCAGCCAATACTATTTAGGTGTGTGCAGGAAAATATCCAGATTTTTATGGCCTTACAGTTTTGGGGTTTTTTTAAAGCAAAATACTTCCATTTAAAACAGCACATGCTCACTCTTAAGCCTGGGAAGCTCCTAGAGCAGTTTAGCAGCAAAAGGCTGCTGAGATATGTAACACCTGCAAGCTCCTGCTACATCTGCACTGAGCACACACTGAGGAGCATGGCTCTCCATGAAGGCTGCAGAGTGTCTACCCCCAGCCTACCATTCTAATGTTGTTCCAGTCATTCCCAATGTTTTAGCAAGCCAGTCTCTGCTGGACCTGTGGTCAGATACTGGACACAGGGGAAGTTTTATATAGGGACCATGAGGTACGTGCTGAGAACTGAAACATTATCTACAAGTGTTAAAAAAACCACTGATTTAGTTATGTGTATCCTGAAGTAACCTTTTGCTTTCCTCTTAAGGATGAGATTTGGCAATTATAGACTACTAAGGGGAAGGCCCTGGTCAAGAGCAAATGTTCTCCTTCCCTGAGTCTAGAACATCCTCTGGAAGACTCCTGACTCCTGCTTTAGAGTGTCCTGGCAACAAAACTGGTCCCTTAACATCACAACTTCGGGAGAGGTAACATTAGTATATCCACCCATCAAGTTTTGAGAACCTGACAACAAAATGCCGTCCTTCACAGAAAGGCAGCTTTGCTATTGCTTGCAAAGTTTCACCTAAGAGGCACCAAAATAACCCACAAGTTCCTTCTGCAGGATGAATGCTTTCAGGGCTGTATGTGATGTTCCTGCAGGCTTGGTGACCTCAGGCAAAATTACTAGCAACAGCTGAGCTGTCTCAACTGGCACAGGAACTGGCTTCCAGGGGACAGAAGGGTGTAGTGTGGCACAGACCACACAGGAGCCATCCCCCTCTCTGAACACAGTCCTCCAACACTACACAAACCTTCAAAGAGACATAAGGAAAGGCTGCCCAACTGCCTTGTACTCCACATGCACTTCCACTCTATGTTCCTTTCTAGGGTTCCATTCACAGAAGGATGTGAACACTTGACTGAAGCACTATTTCTTTTGACAAAACCTTTTTATAAACAGTGTTAGCCCAGAATTTCACAGGACAACAAACAGAAGGAAATGTTCCACTTTATTTTCAACTGTTCATTTCTCAAATGTAGAAAGTCTGTCCCAAATCAAGAAATTATAAAATACAATATAAACACGTTTACACTTGTAATTTTATTCCTGCAGGAGACATGAGAGATAAAACAGAAGTTACAAGTAGCATTTTATTTCATTTTAAAACATGTTACTTCTGAATAAACTTAAAAGGTCGAAAGCATTTAAAAGTTCTAATGGTGGTGGCTTAAGAGGAATCTTTCCAATTGTGAACTCCTTTGCTTCAAACTGTT